AATCGCTTTTTAAATTGAAACGTTGGTGTGACCAGTGGAGGAATGGAACAAGGACAGTAATCTGTTTGCACCTGTTACCTACTGCAGAAATTTTAAAAAATCAGTGTAGGGGATGTCATTATTGGCATAGATAGAAGATTGGCTTACTAACAAGAAGCCAAGAATAGGAATATGGGTCTTTTTCAGCTTGCAAGTTTGTCACAAGGTATGCAGCAGGGGTCACTGCTGGAGCCTCAACTCTTTACAATTTATATGAATGATTTGGATGAAGGAAGAGATTCAAAGTACAGGAGCTAAATTTGCTGATGACACAAAGATAGGTTGGAAAGTAAGTTGTGAAAAAGGATAAAGGAATATAGATGGGTTAAGTGAGATAGCACAGATCTGGCAAGTGCAGTACAAACTGGGAAAGTGGGAAGTGTGAAATTGTCTATTTTGGCAGAACAAAAAAAAAGCACATTACCTGTGTGTTGAAAGGTTATAGAGAGATCTGGGTGTCCTATTAGAAATTTATGGTTCATGGCAGGGGAAATTGAAAGCATGAGCAGGGATGTGATGTTTTAGTTATTTGTATAGAATGGGCTGAAGGGCTACACTTGATAATATTCAATAGCTGCACGACCATTAATGAGTCCTGTGAACATTTCTGTACGTGCTGAAACCAGCACAATCAATGTGTTTTTCTGTGCCTGACTGTTTGTTGCACCGTATAAGAGAGTGTTTTGTTCCAAGTTGCCAGACTTCACCTTGGACCAGGATTGCAATCAGTGCCAGGAACAACCTAAGCCTCCAGACCAGCCATTGATCGAGGCAGGAGGACGTGAGACTCGATCCTTTCTTTTTGTTCCTCTTTCATTATTACTTAATAAATGTTCATATTTAAGCAAATTGTTGTTGTCAAGCTTTCTCTTAGCTACATCTAACCGAATTGGAAAAGAACTACTTGGATAGAACTGTGATCCAAGACAGTTATACAGGGAACTGGTGAGACTGCACCTGGAGTACTGTGTACCATACAGGTCACCATCCTAGACTAATACCTGAAATGCATTACCTTATGAGGAAAGGCTACACAAAATTAGGCCTGCACCCTCTGGAGTTCAGAAGGCTCAGAGGTGACTTAATTGAAACATTCAAGATCCTAAGGGGACATGACTGCTGTTGAAAGGATGTTTCCTCTTGTGGGAGAATCTAGAACTAGGGGTTATTGCCTAAATGGCCACCTCCTTATTTTTAAGCTGAGATGAGGAACTCCTCTCCCCACCCCCACAGAGTTGAGTCTTTAATGTTCCCTTCTTCAAAAGGTAGTGGATGCAGAATTTGTAAATTTTTAAAAGAAGAGCTAGATAAGTTCAAGATTGTAAAGGGGATGAAAGATTATCAGGGATATACATGAATTTAGAATGGAGGTTAAATTCAAATCAGACATGACCTTATCGAATGTTGAAGCAGGCCCAAAGGGCTAAATGGCCTACTCTTGTTCCTTGCTCATATGCTTCTAACTTGGTTGTAACACATTAAGTGGCAGCACGGTGGGTCAGTGGTTAGCACTGCTGCCTCACAGCACCAGGGACCCGGCTTTGATTCCAGCCTCAGGCAACTGTCTGTGTGGAGTTTGCACGTTCTCCCCCATGTCTGCATGGGGTTCCTCCGGTTTCCTCCCACAGTCCAAAGATGTGCAGGCTAGGTGGATTGGCTATGCTAAATTGTCCATAGTGCCCAGGGATGTTTAGGTTAAGTGGGAGATACAGAGGTAGGGGTATGGGTCTGGGTGGGATGCTCTTCAGAGGGGTGGTGTGGAGTTGTTGGACTGAATGGCCTGTTTCCATAGAGTAGGGATTCTATATTTGAGATGGGCGGGGAGAAAAAAATAAGGTCATTCTATTTTTCAAATCAATCAAATCAGTCTTCAGAGCCCATTGGTAAGTAGTTGTATTTTAATTTTGCCATTTTTAGTTTGAGGACTTTCAGGTTTCTCATATTGTAATTACAATTTGTCCCACAAAAACTGTGAATCAAAATGTGCATTGGCACTAAAAGGTTACAATTTCTGCATGTCCTGATAACACCACACTTCTTAGCATCATGTGATCAGTATTCTTACAATATAAAACAGTGCCAGAAATTTTTATTCTAATATGATAACAGTCCAAGTTTGTCAAAAGTTCTCCACGACCACTAAGTTCACGGACAGACCAATTTGCTTCAGCTAGCTTCTTAGCTTATTCACTTATTAATTTTGTACCTGTAGAACTGACAATGAGGAAGCATGGATTTCAGCCCAAATTTTAGTGACAAAAGTATTTGTACTCTGACAAGAGATTGCAGGGAAGGCAGTTTGGATTAATTTTTAACAAAAACAGAAGTTGCTGGAAAAGCTCAGCAGGTCTGGCAGCATCTGTGAAGAGAAATCAGAGTTAACGTTTCAGGTCCAGTGACCCTTCCTCAGTTCTCTTCACAGATGCTGCCAGACCTGCTGAGCTTTTCCAGCAATTTCTGTTCTTGTTTCTGAATTACAGCATCTGCAGTTCTTTCGGGTTTTTATTTTGGATTGACTTGTGTATGGCCTGCTTTCTGTCCAGCCATTGAGTTATTATCTGATCTTGGGGTGACTGAGGATGCATGACAACTTTGGGAGGCAGTGAAGATAAATACTTCTATATCCCCACATCTCTATCTGCCACTGTGCAGCGCACTGAGACAAACACCACCTGAATGCTCATTTCTGCACTACTTCCCTTATTTCTTATGTCTTTGAGAGTCGACCAGGCAGCCTCTTGTACCTCTTCCACCATTGATTGAATAAAGGTGTGGCTGATCTTCTAAGTTCTATTTCCTTTATCCTTCTATTCCCAAGGGAACAAAACTATCAGTCTTCAACATGCTTAACCAAAGCATCCATAACCTTCTGGGATAAACAATTCCAAAGATTCACTGGTTGAAGAAATTTCTCCTCATTCTCAATCTAAGCGATTAAACCATTAAAATGAAGCTATGCCCTAGTCTATTAATTTCCCAGCCTCAGGAAACAACCAGTGTCTACACTGTCAAAGTCCTTTAGTGTGAAAGAGGAGTGAGGCTCTGAAAGCTTCTGTTGTCAAACAAATCTGTTGGACTATAACCTAGTGTCATGTAATTTTTGACGAAGCTCCTTTAGAATGGCTTGTTTCAATAGCTCACATTTCATTTTTCTTAACTCTAATGTGTACAAGCCAATTTACATAGCATTTCATTACAGGATAACCTTATCATCCCAGGAACTGATCTAGTGAACTTTTACCTTTTGCTTCCTTTGCAACGAAATCCTTCCTTAGATATGGAGTTTTTGATTCTTGCACTTCTCCAGTAGTCTCACCAAAGCCCTGTACAAGTTTAGCACAGTTTCCTTATTCTTATACTCCATTCACTTGTAATAAAAGGCAGACCAACATATCATTTGCTTTCCTAATTGCATGCTGTACCCATCTGCCTACTTTACATGAGTACACCCAAATCTTTCTGAACATCAGCATTTAGAAGTTTAACACCTTTTGAAAAATACTGTTTTATTCTATTCTTAGGAGCAATGTGAATTACCTCATGCATACCCACATTATACACCTTGCTAACCATTCAATTAAATTGAGGGGTGATACATATAGGACAGATGTCAGAGGTAGGTTCTTTACTTAGACAGTAGTAAGGACGTGGAATGCCCTGCCTGCAACAGTAGTAGACTTGCCAACTTTAAGGGCATTTAAATGGTCATTGGATAAACATATGGATGATAATGGAATAGTGTAGGTTAGATGGACTTCGTATTGTTGCACGAACCTGTGAAACCAGCGAGGGCCGAAGGGCCTGTACTGCGCTGTAATGTTCTATGTTCTATGACTGTTTGTAGACTCTTACTGACATCCTCACACTTACATTCCCATCCAGGCTTCTATCAACAAACTCTTAGCCTATTTGCTTAAGTCACTAACAGCCAAGGCATCAGCATGGATCCTTCCATCACTCCAATCACAGCCTGCCAGCATGAAATGGCCCAGTTTTCCCAATTAGCCTGCTAGCCAACCTTTCATTTGTGTAAATCCTTTGTCCCTAACTCAACAAGCCCTTATCTTCCAATTAGCCCTTTTTGTGTGGCACTTTATTGAATTTCTTTTGGAAAGCCAAGAGTACTAAAAGCTCCTTTATGCCTACCTTCCTAGTCACATCCCCAGAAACACGAGTAAATTTGTCAAACATGATTTACTTTTCATAAAACCATGCTGACTCTTTTATCATATTATGATTTCTACGGGCATTAAGGCTTCCTCAATAATAGATTGCAGCTCTTTTCCAATGACCACTGTCAGGCTAACTGGATTTGCAAGTGCAAACTTTTCCTCATGCTGAGAGCTATAGGAGAATGGTCGGAACACAACAGTGGTCCAGAGGCAGGGAAAGGGTCCACCTTGTCATGAGGTACTTTGTGCCCCTGCATATTTAATAGAATTTAAACTCAATTGAAAACAGTTTACAAATTCTAAAGTGAAATCGCATAAAACTTCACACAAGTTGTTCTATAAAAATACAATAGGCTTTGATATAACCACATACAAAGATTCAATCTTTGTACCGCACCATATCCGTCCTCCAACAGCAGTAAACAGTGAAGACTTCGTTATTCAAGATAAAAGAGCCATTAGTTAAGGAGGTAATTAGAATGAAGCTACATTTTCAGCAGGGAACAAAAAGTTCCACATTTGATGTCATTAAAACACAAATCAACATACAGCAGAAGGTGATTGACTTTTCCTTTGTCAACCATGGATGATGCCACATTTCCAGCATTTTACATTTTTGTTTCAGTTTAGAAACACACTTCATTGGAGATGAAGACGAACTATTTGTCAATTTTCCAAGATGGAATAGATGATACCAGTGCAAAGAAGTGCATAATTTCTAACATCAACTTCCTGCAAAAGGAACATTATGCATCTTTGTATTTTGCAGGAACAAGTCAAAATGAAACCTTTTAAAAATGACCAAAAATGTATTTAATATATTCTGGATTGCCACAAATAAATACAGAATGTACACAGACAGGAAAATCCAGGGGTGTGAAAGACCATTCAACTCAATTGCAATGCATGAAAATGCAATTATAAAAGTGTCACTTCAGATCATTTGATTATTCTGGTTTTAGGGAATTCTCATTTCCTTTCCTCAGCTTCAGAAAACCTTTATTTTGTTTTTCATCATATTTCAGGATGACAATTGGTAAAAGGAATACCAATTTGTGATAACAAGGTGTAGAGCTGGATGAACACAGCAGGCCAAGCAGGAGCAGGAAGGTGCTGCTTGGCCTGCTGTATTCATCCAGCTCTACACCTTGTTATCTCAGATTCTCCAGCATCTGCAGTTCCTACATCTCTGACCAATTTGTGATAGCCAGCTCCTGTTCCATCGCTGGACTATGTTGCAATGCAGTGCCATTTTCATGCGCAAGTGCACTCATTATTCTAGCTGATAGCAGCAATCATAAGAAATAGTCTTCTCATGTCCATCTCATCAATACTTTTTACTACTTTGCAGCAGCTTATTACTTATCTAAAGAACATTTTTTCTTTCTAGGTGTAACAAGTTACTTATAATCTTTTCCCTCTGATCCGAAGCTTTAGCAGATCAACTAAAAACATACAGCTGGATAAAATATGCCAGTACCAAGCTGAAATTGAAATAATAATCAAATGTTCAATGGGGTTGCATGAAACAATCAATACTCAACATTTGTTGGTTTTGCTAAGCCGAATTAGATATTACAAATCCTCACAGCAGCTTTCAGTACTTTGGGCAGTTATATTAAGATCCAAAAGAGAAGTTCCATCACTTGAAAATGTTCAGCTGAAGACACTGAAAACACCAAGCAGCAATGTTTTTGCCATTCCAAGCTGAGGATATTCTGAACAATTTTGCAGAAGTAATTATCACATCTCATGCAAAAATATACATCAACATCTTATATCAGCATGCAAAGCCTGGGGAAGTGATGAACTACTTGGTATAAAAGAGGCACTGGGTTTTTCATATTCATAAGTTACCGTATTTTCAGAAACTTTAGACACCAAGTCATTCAAATCATGTTCCGTAATATCAGATTCATCTGCCTTCTGATCATACAAATTTTCATTTGAGCAGTTTTCAAAGCAAAAGTCTAGATCTTGAATTTGGATAGACCACAATGGGACATCAGAAATGTTACTTGTTGCAGAGGTTGAACTGTTCCTTCTGCTGTGGGTGGTCTGCGTCGTGGACTCCACATCTGGGCCTTCAGTTTGCATTGTAGCTGGTGCAGTCATTTGACACTCATTGAAGTTAGTGAAAATATGTTCAGGCACTGAATCACACCATTGATCATCACATAATTTAGTGTTGGTGTCATCTGTTTCTGCTTTAGAAGATGCACTACAACTCCGAGTGCTGTGTAAAGGTATATTCAGTGCATTACTTTCATAGCCAGCTTCCTCACCACTATTCATTAGCTCTTCTTCACTGTCTTCTTCAATGTTTTCAATTTTCTTTACATTAAAACAACCTTGTTCCAAAGTGCTGAGCTTTTCTTGCACATTATCACAAGCGTAGACAGGACGGATGTGTTTCAAATTATTCTGATAAGACAGAACAAATAAGACACATTCAATTTACATGTTACCATGTAAACATGTGAATGTTTGAACATTCTAAATTTTCACCTACTTATCAAATGTGATCCAATTCTGTCCAACATATTCATTTCAGCAGTTTTTTTAAAAAATCCATTCACAGGATGTAGGCATCACTGCCTAGGCCAGCATTTATTGCCCATCCCTGATACCCAGAGGTCAGTTAGGAGTCAACCAAGTTGAATCATAGAATCCCTACAGTGTGGAAAAAGGCCGTTCGGCCCAACAAGTCCACACTGACCCTCAGAGCATCCCACCCAGACCCACCCCCATAACCCACCTAATCTACACATCCCTGAACCCTACGGGCAATTTAGCATGGCCAATCACCTAGCCTGCACATGTTTGGACTGTGGGAGGAAACCGGAGTACCCAGAGGAAACCCATGCAGACACGGGGAAAAATGTGCAAACTCCACACAGACAGTCGCCTGAGGGTGGAATTGAACCCAGGTCCCTGGCACTGTGAGGCAGCAGTGCTAACCACTGAGCTGCCCCATTGCTGTGGGTCTGTAGTCACATGTAGCCTAGATGGCAGTTCCTTCCCTAAAGGACATTAGTGATGCCATATGGGTTTTTCCGAAAATCAGGAATGGATTTATGGTCATTGGTAGACCCCCTAATTCCAGATTTTTCTTATTGAATTCAAATTCCACCATCTGCCAAGGTGGGATTTGAACTTGGGTCCTCAGAACATTTTCTGGGTCTCTGACTAACAGCCCAGCAAGAATACCACTAGGCCATTGCCTTCCCTTTTATTTGCACAGAAACTGGAACATTAGATGCTTACTCTTGGTACTTTAGATCAATTAGAGTAACCTCATGATTATTTGGCGAATCAGGTCAAGATCATCACAAATGAGGAAAGATCAATGTTGGCCCCCTTCTGATTGTATGATTACATGGCACACCACATGGCACTTTTATCCATTGAAGGCGGTATTCCAACTAAGATGGTTATAAAGAGTGACTTGGCGATACTGCTGAACATCTACATTTCACTAAAATGTAGTCATTAAAAACAAATAATAAAGTTTTAATAAGTCATAAAACAACTACTGTCATTCTGGCGCAGTCTAAAAACAGCATGTGCAAAATAGGATACTTAGTAAGTCATGATATTCAACAGCTTTATCCCTTTATGCAAAGATCAATCCCATCTTAATATATAGCTTTATTTTTATTTGCTACTATGAACAACTTGCTTTAAATCCATTCAATCAGGTCACCTTTATGTCTTCACTCCCCACAACTTTTAAGCAAAATTTAAATTCCCAGTACCCAGGAAATATCATTATTGCATAGCTCACTAGCCTCTGATAGCCAAAAGTATTCCGCCCCAGTTGGATGACCAGACTGCAAAATGGTACCATAGATACCATACCATGGTACCATAGATAAAGTGTCTTTCATAAGCAACATGATCTTATTCTTGCTTGTATCTCTAATGCAGACCATTACTTAATTCATTTATTGAGGGTTTTATAAATTCAGCTGGCTAAACATCTGTAACTTTCTCAATTAGCACGTGCAGCAATGAGAAGCTGCGAGTGCATCAGGTATCATTAGAAACCAGGTATCTTGAAAACAAACTTAAAGCTCAAACTTATCCATAGGATGCTTCTCTTTCTAGGCCAAAAGGAGGACTGATCATCTAAAACTGTACATTGTGCACAACTTCTAAAAAATGATAACTTTAATGGAAAAATGTTGGAGATCCCATAACTTTCACTGAGCACTGAAAACAACAGTTTCTGGATGATAATTTGATTAACAATTTACATACCAGAGCTTGTGGACCATATTTACTGAAAAAACCAAGAAAACCTCCGCTGTATAGTACAATGAGGATAATGGCGAAGCCAAACATCAAGATGATCATAAGTGCTATTAGAACGTGATGTACTGCAAAAGAATAGGATATATCAGAAACATTCCTTTATGCCAGTTTCTCATGCTTGGGATTATCCAAATTAATCCAGTAGCAAGTCTCACTTCTTTATTTAAATCCAGTAAAAGTAATCTGGCTTCTTTTTAAAAAATTCAGTTTCTTCAGTCCACATCAGCTATCTGAAGACACACGATAATATTAGTATTTGAATATTACATCACATTACATAGGATACATGGCACTGAAACAGGCCACACAAATACAAAAGCAAAATGTGGAAGTGGTTGAAATCTGACTGTAATAGTTAATGTTTCGGTACATCTGTTGAAAAGGTCAAACTGAAATTTTTAACTTCGTTTCTCAACAAGTCAGGCAGCATCTTTAAGTTTTTCAAGCTTTTTTTACTCTTCGTACAGAAAGAGACTCCTTGGTCCAACCTGTCCAAGTGGGCGTTTATGATCCACTCGAGCCTCCTCCTATGTTTCCTCACCTAAATCTGTCAGTCATTTATTCCATTCTATTTCATATTTACCTAACTTCCCATTCATCATATCTATGCCATTTGCTTCAACTATTTCTATATGGTAGAGAATTTCATATAAGTATGCACTCATTACATAAAGGCATTGTTTTTCCTGAATTGCTTGTTCATGAGATAACCCTTTTTTATATTATATTTTAATACGTTAACATACCAAACAAACGAACGTTACTGGTGACTAACAGTTGCTTGCGAAGTTGGCCAAATATTGTTTTAGCAAATCAGCCTATTCATACCAAACCACTTTGCTCTTTTGTAGTTTTTACGCAAAGCCACGTGTATTGTGACAACCTAGATTGCATAGCCAGGAATAGGACTTCTTTCTAAAACAGATATTTACACATGTTGAAAAAGCATTGGCTCAACTGTAATGGGATTCCAGCTTAACACGGCTTTAATTTTGTGGTTGCAAGTATCCTTGACCAATTACAACTATAACCTTTTTTTGTGCTGCCCCCAACCTCAGGTTCTCTCAATCACATGCTCAGTGAATCCCTGAGCAATATAGATAATAGAAGTATTAGAATAGGACTATGTAGAGTTAGCAAGTGTTGGTTCAAATGACAAAGAAAATAACCATCCAAGGTTCCTGCTCATCGTTACCACACAGTTATTTGATACAAGTGGTGAGAAAATACCTAGAAGCCAGTCAGGGGTAAAATATTTACTTCGAGAAATATGCATTAGCAAATTACAGCTAGCACAGATTTGTTAAAAACAAATTGTCAGACTAACTGGTTTGAGATCTTCAACGAAGAGCAGAAACGTGGACTTTCAAAAGGAATTTGAACTGGTTTAGTGGCAAAATGGAAACATGGGGGATTAAAGGGTCAATGATAACTTGGCTATTTATCAAGTCAAGAGGCAGAAGCCAGAGGGTACAGAATGGATATTTTAGACTGAGGAATGCAATGAAATGCATCAGGGGTCAGTTTTAGGACAATTGTACCTGTGTAAAGGGGCTACAATTTTGAAGTTGTGGATGATGCTTGGAAACAACGACTGCAATAGTTAAGTAAGTGGGCAAAAAATGATCAAATAGAATGTAAAGTGGGAAAATGAGAAGTTAATTTTGGAAGTTGAACAGTATTATTTAAATAGAGAAAACTGTAGAAAGCTGCAACACAAAGGGTTTGGGGGGGGTACTTGTACTCAAAACACAAAGCTGGCACATAGGTGTAGCAGGTAATCAGGCAGCCTAAAGGAATGTTGGTCCTTATTTCAAAGGGGTTGAAATATAAGAGTAGGGAAGTCTTACTGCAACGCTACAAGTGGTGATGAGACCCCTTCTGGAGTCCTACCTCGTCCAGAGGAGTGTCATAATATCTCTGAACCGACTGATTTGCAGAAAATCCTATAGCTACTTGTGGGAGGTGGTGGGGTGATAGTTGCTGCATTTCCTATGTTATAATTTTAAAAAAAATCAAAATCATTCAGGAGACATGAGCGTTGCTGGCTGATTTACGACCTCTGTTTTAATTGCCCTGGAGGTCGAGGAGGTGGTGAGCAGCGTTCTTGAACCACTGCAATCATGGGGTGTAAGTGTATCCACGATGCCATTATGGAGTGAGTTCCAGGAATTTTACTCAAGGAAAGGCAACATATTTCCAAGTCAGGATGGTGAGCGACTTGGAGAAGAACTTGCAGGTGGTGGTTTTCCCATGTATCTGCTTCCCTCGATGCAGTAATTGTGGGTTTGGACGGTTCTGTCTAAGCAGCCTGACTCAATTTCTGCAGTGACTGCTTTAGGGGGCTGGAGAATGTGAAAACTGCCATACAAATGCAAGGTACTATTTACTTCAAGAGAGGAGACTGATTGTGTGCATAGATATTACAAAGTGTGCTGAGTAAATTTTCATGCTGAAGCCTTTAAGCACAAGGGATCAAATTATCACCTAACAGCACTAAAGCTGGTTTTGCACTTGTTAATTGAATTTAAATCCAGAGCAATATTTGACTGGGTATGAAACCGGCATTCCACTCAATCCAATTAGTTTCTGGCCAGGAATGTAAGATTAAAATTACTCCTGAGTTTCAGTCACCATACATCAACTTTAACTACCTGGGGTAAATCTTAATCTCATCCAGCACTCAAAAATTACATGAGATCACAAAAACATGGCAAAGATGGAAAACATTGGCTCTCTTAACCAAATACGAAGGTTTTAAAAATTTAACAAAACAAAAAAAAAAAAGGCTGGTGTCGTCATTCTTTACCTTTATTTTTCCTTAAGCCTTGAGAGTGTATACATTTTGATTCCACGGGGTCAGAATGATCTTCTTCAGAAGAAAACATTTTTATTGAGACACAGTATTGTGTGTCAGGTTGTAAGTTGTCAACCTCTTCTTTAACACTAATTTCCCTTGTACTACCTAACACTTCTCTATTCTGTTGAAAGAAACAGATCAGAATTACAATCAAATCAACAGGATAACAACTTCCAAACTTAGTAAATCTTCTGGTGATTAACACAATATTGCATTTAAATGTTTGAAGATTGGTTTGTCGTGTACAATCGTAATTTAATTTCAGTACACATATCAGCAGTGCTAATTTGTTCTAATTTTAGAAATTTTCTCTTCTCCATTCAAGTTTAAGCCTCCACAAAGAATTGAACAGTTCACACAGGTAGAAAGTTTAGTTTGAAATCCCAACTTACATATAGCCCCAACACCAGCAGCTTGGATCACATCATTTATCTTTCCATTTACAAAGAAAACCACTACCAGAAAGGTGCACCATATGTGACTAAGGAGACTGGGGGTGGAATCAGAATTGAAAGGTAAGGTGCACAATGCTACAAAGATGCAGTATATTTGGATTTCCAAAAAGCATTTAATAAAAGATGTCACATAAAAGAATTACTACACAAGATAAAGTTTATGGTGTTACAATAAGTTGGGAGTAGGACTTTTAGCATGGACAGAGATCTAACAGGAAAGAGAGTTTTCAGGATGGCAAATTACAATTCAGTGTTGGGTCCTCAACCATTTTCAACCCACTATTAGTGACTTGAACGAAAGGACTGTGTCATTAGTAAATTTGGCTACAATGCAAAGACAGGCAGGAAAGCAAGTTGTGTGGAGGCTACAAAGGATGTAAACTGGTTAGACTTGGCAGGTGGAGTCTAATGTGGGAGAACACGAGGCTGTCTTCTCTGACAGATAAAACATAAAAGCAGAGTATTATTTTCATGGAGAGTGTGCAGAATGCAATTGTGCAGAGGGATCTGGGTGTCCTTGAAATCTTGCCACAAACCTGACCTCTACATTTACACACTTTGTAATGAAAGCAGGCCATTTACAAACTTAGTGTTTTGTTCAAAGACTGCAGCTATAAATTTTCACATTTTACACAGCATCAGGATCATTAATTAGTAATTTAGAATTAAATTATCAATAAATATTTACTCAAAGTCCTCTCCTCTTCTTTAAATAGAACGATGAATACCATACATCCTTTGAGAGGCAGACTTTATTTAATATCAGATGATATGGTACACTCCATCGAAGCACACCAGCACCAGCCTCATTATGTAGTTGAGTGTCTGGAAGTCTTTGACTCAGATGTAAGTACACATCAGGACTACTCAGTCAAGTATAAGCAAATAACAGCTGTAGGTCAAAGCTCTCTTTTCTGCTCAACCTGTCACGCCAGAATCAATGTGAATCCTTCAATTTCCATAATGGCCAGGAAAACATATCTGAGCAATGCTGTCTGCTTTAAATTGTGGACCCATTCAACAAGAAACTAGGTGGATTTAACCGGAGCCCTACCTCACCAACATGGTAATTATACCACTTACATCACTCAAAATTCTGGAGTATAATTTATTTTTAAAATGCTTTCAAAAACAACAAATTGTTGCAGTAGCTTTATAAGCTATGCAATAATTGCATGAGTAAGGGTCATAAACTTTGGATGCACAACTTTCATATTATCAGTACCATGGTTGATGTTTTCACTACCACGATGACAGCTACAATGTGCATGTACATTTCATGTACAGACTGCTCTGGGTGCCATTTTGGGTAGTCACTACTGAAAACATGCAGGGTAGGCAAATCGTGATGTCCATGTTCAGTAGTGATCTGACATAACCAGAGTAATTTGTGACCCAAGAACTCCAACTAACACCCTCTTTTAACCACACACAGCTGAACATGCATTCAACAACAGCAAGATCCCTCATCCTTACCATCACTAGATTAAGAGTTCATCAGCTGCTTTGTTAGTTGCTAATAAATTTCTGACTGCTACCCAAGAACTTGAGGTACTATTATTTAAAATTGGTGAAATCTACAGGGAATGGTGTTGAACATAAAGGCCTTGATTCTCACTTCAAGGATTCTGCACAGCCATGGGTGTGCAGTAATTCTAGATCTAGATTTATTTGTCACATACACTAAGTATAGGAACACATAAGTACAGTGAAAAGTGCACAAAGTTGCCATTCACTGGTGTCCACTTGGTTACAAAAACCAGAATTAAAAGATTACAGAGCCAAAAAGGTAAGCAAGAAAAAAAAAAGGTCCAGATCTCGGAGATCTCAGAGTCCCATCTCCACAATGGCACTGCTCCAATCGCTAGGACATCCAGGAGACCGTCACCGCTGCCTCACTGGGCCTGCTCTCACCACCGACTGCTGGCCCCTCACCGGCCCACATCACTCTGGCCCATACTTGATCCGCAGCTGCAAGACACAGCCGTGCGTTCAGCTCCCACCACGCGGTTCCCAGTTGCAACCTGACGACTCCTTCGGTAGGTAAGAAAGGGAACTGACAAACAGAGTGGAGCGACTTACCCTGCTGCCATTTTGCCAGATTCCTTTTGTTCTGGCATGACATGATGAATGAGCAAAGATGACACCAAAGGAGAACAAGTTTCTCGAACACAGGACATATCTACCCAGGATTGACATGGCGCAAATTCTCCTATTCTTCCTCATTGAGGAAGCGGTATGTGAAATTGTCCACCTCACCAATGGAGGCCCTCACAGAATTCGGTCACCTGTTGCAGTCACGATTGCACTTTAGTGCAAGGGCAAGGATGGAGCAAGCAGGCTTCCACATAGTACTGTATGCTATTGACTGGAGCCACTTTAATAGACTAGACTGTTCAAGTGACAGCTTTGCTTCCTGTACCACACTGGAGGAGCACTGCAGTACTCACCAAAGCAATTCTCAAGATTTATTGCCCTCTGACAATACCACAATTTCACCATTAAGGGATTGCTCTTGTAACTAGTGAGCAGCCATCTCTCGTATCTAGTGAACAGCCACAGCTGACGAGGGAAAAAAGGAGAAGGCAACCAAAATAGTTCTCTTCCAGTCAGGCTGTGGCTGATTGCTACCACAATCAGATGAGCCAATGAAGCCCAATTCCCAAATCCACCAACAGTACCACAACTTCTGCTTACAGTACTTATTTACCGATCATCATCTGGGACACAATGCAAAAACAAAAAAAAGACATTTTAAACTAACTTTGTCAATTAACCTAGCCTGGCTCAATACCTTCAAGGTGGCAAGATCGTGAATGGCCTTGGGAAGTCAACCTTAAGCACGTGTGATTTTGAATAGCACTGCTTCTGCACAGCAGCAGCAGTCTGGGCTGGCTGGCTGACAATGGCACCGAGAGTAAAAATGTTGCAATCCTGAGAAAGGATAGCGGGTTTATTCTCCAAGGAACTACTGCTGTTCCGCTGTGGTGGTGTTTCAGCAATTCTACTCATTAAAAGGACAGATTGTAGTTACAATTTGGAATTGAACATTTCACAATGTGAATTCCAAGCTCCAATATGCAGCGGTGAGCGAACAAACTTTTGACTGAGAAAGGAGATGAAGGATGATATGTTTAAGTAGCACAATCATATAAATTAATTTAGCTTTTTGTGAAATATTTTTAATTAAACTTGAAAGCATCCTATACGAAAGTTAGTAACACAGAAGATCAAATTATTAAAAAAATTAAAGATTCAATTGATGAATGTTCAAAATGGGCTCCTTTTCAATCACAATAAGTTTTCCATAATTTCATTGGAGCTGCATGGCAAGGTTTCCCAGAGAATGACATAGGACTTATAACAACCAGAAGTGAGGAATAAAAATCAATTATCCAGTCACCTAATATAGAAATTACGTCCAGTACACTCTTTGAAATTGTCTTGGTCTAAAACATGTGATTGTTGTTTAATCTTTTCAAATCATACCTTTTCCAGCTCTCCATTTTTAAATACTGAAATGTGATACCACAATGTTGCGTGGAGATCAATGACAGATTTTATTCCTAATCTATAAATACAGGCTGGGGTCGCAGGAGAATCAAAATTAATTTTGAGGACTCCAACAGGGGTCTCCAAGATTTGAACATTAACTGGTCTTATTTTTGCTGTAGAAGAAAAACAAAAGTGAATTAAGTGAGGTAAAAATATTTACAAGTTAACATTACACTACTAAAATTCACAAATACTTGAAATTGAAAGAAACTTTGATTGAACTTGTTAGGTTAAAAAAAAAACTGAAGTATTTTGTTCTGAGAAATGAATAGACCTGAAAACATTGTATTCAATTCTCGAAACCTAATTTTTATTTTAATAAGCTTAAATTTAATCAATAAATAAGTTGGCTTATTTTTAAGGGTTACTTTCATCTTCATTATGAGCAACAAGACATGGGAATGACAAGGGTTAGTTGTAAAACTTAATTTACGCATAAATGAACTTGCACATTTACATGCACGTATGTGTATCGTTTGTACGTATATCTGAATAACATTCCCTACCATAGATTCCACAAGTCTTGGGGGAGGGGAGGGCAAACTACAAAATTATAAAACAGGCAGAAAATCAGAGAATTTGTGCAAAGAAAAAAGTGAACAGAACTTGTTAAAGTTATTTTTAAAAAGATTTTGCACATATTGAATAATAAAAAGAGCAAACCATAATTCATACACAAATATTGCCTCAAGAAATGCTTTCGTACCAATCCAAGAAAAAAAAATGATAAACTTACTGTCTTGAAATGGTTGGAACTCCATTGAAGAAGACCAATCAGATTCATCCATCTCTGTGACTGCTTTAACTTGAGTAAAGTAAGAATCATATACATCAGTGAAGACATTGGTTAGATCACATGTTCGGCTTGTGATCAGTGAACAGTTTTCTACAGCAAGCCACGGATTACTTTGATCATCTTGTTGGTTCATGGTCAGTGAATCATCGTCTGCACCAACTTTGCTATTTAGCATTTAAACAAATAAAGGGAGATATATGAAAACAATATTCTGCAGATGTTTTTATGTCTCAAATAATTATATGTAAAAGTAAAATCATGTTATTGCCTATTTTGGTTCAAAGAGGAATAAATAATAAGCCAATTTATACTAGAATACATCAATAATATTAAGGATAAAGGGCACTGGCCATTTGACCCAACCAATCCATACTGGTGGTTACACTTCAGTTGAGCCCCTGACTGTCTTTCCTCATCTGAATCTATCACTGTAACCTTCTACTGCTTCTCCCTCATATTATCTCACATCCCCTTAAATAAATCTGTGCTGTTCATTTCAACCACTCGTTGTGGCATCAAATTCAACATTTTTATAACTGTTTGAGCAAAGAAATTTGCTCTAATTTCCCTATTGGATTTTTGGTGAGTATCTTGCATTGATTGCCTTGAGTTACGATGTTTTCATACGTGCAAGCATTCAACCCAATGAATCCTTTCATAATTGTGAATAAATGCTTCTCATGCAAACACTTGGCATTCTTTCTTCAAGAAAGAAACCCAGCTGGTCAAACCTTTTCTGATATGTATACCTGTGCAATTCTGGCGTTACCCTTTTAAACCTATTATTTACTCTCTCCAGAACCTCTATCTTTTCTAATATGGTGGCCAGGCAACACTTAAGAGTTTATAACCAAGATTCAATAAATGTTTAACATTATCTCGACAGAATTGAATAGTATGGAGGTAAAGTCCAGCTTGCTTTCTTTTTAAGAAATGTTCTTGCTAACTTGTGGCACACCATAAGTGATGGATATATTTGTCCTTTATGCTCCTTTTCTTTTTGTACCCACTTAGATTTGCACTGCCAAAGGAATCAGCAACTTTTATCTTCTTCCAACCTCAGTTATCAGTGTTCAACTTCATTTGCTGATTATTTGCCCTTCTGCAATTTTACTACTGTTTCCTTGTGATTTTTTGCTGTCCCCACCAAGCTCATGTCATATGGAAATTTAGAAATTTACAAATAGGATTTATCAAAACAAAATTACAGTTTGGCACCATAAGCCCCAATTTCTGAAATTTATTTTAGAAGTAGTATTTCTTGAAAAATAGAGATTTATACCATAAATTGCTATTTATTAAACACTTCAGTGTTTATTATAGAATAACAATGGCACCATGATTACACCATTTATTAACTCTCTCCTGCTACATGTAGAGAGAGTTTGGTTACAAACACATTGGAGAAACTTTACTATAAACTCAGGTTACGAGAATTTAACAATATTATAATACAAAAAAATTTGTAATAAATGAAATTTGCATGCTTATCTTCAGATGAGTTTCCAACATCATATTTTTACCAGACTAAGATTACCCTTTGTCTCCACTATAACTTTGCTCGACTTTGTTGCGGTCTCAGGTCATTTGCTGTTGAAATCCAGGCTTTTACTTCTAAGGCCTAATCATATTAAGGCACTCCTGGCTGCATCACACATTATACCCTCTGCGAACTTTATCATTTATTATGGTGCTGCCCTGTCTTAATTTGCAGCATGTCCCGTTCTATTATCCTTGCATTTGCTGACCTTCATCAAAACCCTGATCATGAAATGTCTCAATGCAAATCCTCATTTTCAAATTCCTGCATTGCCTTTCCTTCCAAATTATCTGTGGTTTTGCAATTCTGGCTTTTTATGCCTTCTTTTATGATCCCAGCAGATACCCTAAAAATTTGCCTTGAGCCCAGATGAGACCCCTATATTTTATTCCGATCCAGCTGGGGACCAGTAACTTTGATTGTGGATAAAATTTGAAATCCCAGGTATTTGCTAAGAAAATAAAATTACAAGTTTCCACAGTCTTAAGCAAACAGAAGACATTTTACTATAGAAGAGTCAGTAAGTTAAACAGTTAACCTCATCTCAATACTCTACCTTCCAGAATTAACAAGGTAAACATGAATGAACAGACAAACTATGGTCAAACACAAATGACAATCTGCACATCAAGTAACAGAAGCAACTGAGGCCAGTCAATGAATTTCTTGAAAACTAATAGATGTCAGTGAGCATGTAAATACTTTAAAACTTCTGTCATCGTAAAGAGGGATTTCATCTTTTCTTTTTAGGATGTAGCTTCTGTTTTGATTCAAAAGTCACTCCAACTCAGACTGCCCCATGACATTTTACTTCCTAGTCAGGCAAATAAAAAAGACAGCAAAACACGTAAGGAGATATTAAGAGGGTGACCAAAGACTTGGTCAAAAAAGAATCACTGACTTGAAACATTAATTATGTTTCTCCCTCTTCAGCTGAGTTGTCAAAGTTGCTGAGTATTCCCAGCATTTTCTGTTTTTCATGAAATGTTATTTGTTTAATTACAGGGATTGCAATGCTGTGGAAACAGTAGGGAAATAACTGGGGAGTTTTAAATATGGAATTACAGTGAAGTGGAGATGGATTTGGTAGACAGAAAATGCTTGAACTGTTGGGGGTAAGAAGTTGGAAACAGAGTTAGTTTGCAAGACCAAGATGCTGAAGATGTCAAATCTGAAAGGGAATAGCAGGAAGGGACTGTTTTGTTCTTTTAAATTGATTATTGAGGCATTAACGAAAACAGTGAAGTAATTTTATTCCCTTGCCTTGAATGTACCTTATCCATTCCTAGTCATTTTGAAAGCTGGTCCACTGTAGTCTCCATCCAAATACACAATTTGACTTCCACAGGTTAATTTTCATAATAATTATTTCAATTTATAATTGCTGTATGAATAGATTAGAAGAAACCAGTGTATACAAACCTTAAAGCAATGTATTCCACTGTGTAGCGTGTAGGGAATGACTTGTTCATTCCTGATTCCCACATCAAGACATGATGGAAGTTTTCTGATTCATATGATAGATTGAAAGGCGGAAACAATACAGCAATAACTGGAATATTTAAACAAATAAGCATCAAATGACATTTTAAAAATCAGAAGTAAAAATAGTTATGCGTAAAAGCCTCAAATTCCCCTATACTGGCAAATGTGATCAGACAGTAACTGCTGAGCATCCGTGCGCTTTTAATTAGTTATAACTAGTGGAACTAATAATCTATTTCCATTGCAAAGCATATGGGTATTTACAGCACACAATAAAGCAATTTAGCCCATCAGATCATGCTTTCACGCTTCATCCGTCTCTATCAACACATGCTTCTATACCCATCAAGCTTCTTCTAAAAAAAAATACATCTATGCTGCAGAAAGAGACACAACAAGGTGCAGGGCTGGATGAACACAGCAGGCCAAGCAGCATCATAGGAGCAGAAAGGCTCGCAGTGGGGTTATGCAGAAAGGTTGCTCCCGAGTTATCTACTGGATTTATTTGTGATTTTATATTAATGGTCCCTAATTTTGGGATCCAATTGAGAAAAAGTAACTGCTCTATTTTTAACCAAAGTTCTACTGAAATTTAGCAAAGCTTCACTGCTTTTCAATTTTATTCCCCAGGAGTGAAATCTTGCACATTGTTTAGTTATCAAAACAAAAAAGCCTTATTAACCTGCATTTTAATTTTAATGATTTCTGTATCATTGCAGGAAATTCAACCAGATAGACACATGCATTACCCAGCCACTAGAAGACTGTACAATACTGTCAGCTAGAAGTACGCACGTTGACCTGTCCCACCAGATTCATTTTGATATTAGATAATAGGAAATATGCTGCAAAATTTCCAGCAGTGAAGTACTTGAAATAAAATAAAATCAAAATGAAAACTGGAAGGAAAGATGTTGCCCTTGGTCTTGCAAGAGGATAAAAATGATACATAGCCTAAACAGCTACAATACTGTCTTTCAAACAAATTGAAATATTAACTTGCTGCTTAGTTTTTAAAATGGGTGTTCCGTAATTACGTGACTGCAGTTCCATCACACAATTTTCAATGTACATTTTGTTGCACAGAAAGATTAAAAAGACTTGAAGACTTGTCAAAATGCCGACGGAATGCTTGGGGTAAACTGATGAATTAACTTCAAACTTCTAGCAGGGAAATTAATCTATCATTTATACAAAAATGTCATGGAAACAAAATGTTCCAAGTGTTCCTCAACTTCTTATAGTATAGACTTTTCTGTTACTTACGCAAAATGAGAACATATGGTTTTTGGGGGCGGGGGTGGTGGGAAGCTCGATCCTATAAGCTACAAACGGAAAATAACCCAAATTAGTTAATTAAATGGCATTAAAAGCAAAATATTTCAGATTTTCAGCATAAGTAACAGAAAATATTGGAGAAACTCAGTAGGTCTACAAGCATCTATGGAGAGATAAACAGGTAAGAGATAGGGGACACAGAGACGCAAGAACAGGTGTAGACCCTTCAGTCCTTGAGCCTATTCGACTATTCAACGAGATCATGGTTGATCTGTGGCCTAATTCCATATTCCTGTCTTTGGCCCATATCCTTTAATACCTTAGATAATTTTATATCGGAGATTGCTAAACAAAAAAATAAAAATTAACAACTGATCCAGCATCCACTGCTGGAGTTAGTACCGAGTCTGTCATAAAGAAGTCACGTCGGACTTGAAACATTAACCATTTATCTCTTCAGAGGTTTGCCGAGATTCTCCAGCATTTTTGAATTTTAAACGATGCTGAACAGTGCTGTAAGATTAAAAACAAACAGCCATCCAAATTGGTAGCTAGTGTCTGAATGGAGCGTCTCAGGAGAAAGACAGCATTTCTGAGAATACAGTGTACCATTGGGACTACAGTGAAGGTTAGGAGCTAGAATCTAAGACTTGGGTTTGAAGCTATAATTTTATGGTTATGTGGCATTAGTAGTGTCACATGAGCTTTAGCGCAATACAAAAGAGTGAAACTGAAGCTGGAATATGGATCGAGGCAAGGACCACTGAAAGGTCGAGGCACAGCAATGCATCAAAAGATATTTTCTGAAACATAGTAGCGCTATTTTCTGTTTCTCCACAGGATGGAACTGCTACCACAAAAATAATTTCAGGAACTGCTGGCTTTAGAAATATTTCAACAACCCCTCTCAGCGGAGTAGCACACCATTTCCTTCAGCTTGACACAGCTAACGTCTTGAGAAATTATCTGTGCTCATAATTATAAGCAATGGACAGAGCTTAAGCAATCTGACAGACGTATTTCTTTCAACTATGCTGTTGCATGATTCTGAGTAGTTCCTTTAAGAAAGGATGGGGAGGAAGAAATGGTAAGAGGAGCTTGCATCTTTATCACATCCATCACAATATTAGGAAAACAGCCACCACAAAGTGCACCACAGTCAACCAAATTAATTTGAAGTGCAATCACTGTTGTAGTGAAAGATGGTAGTCAATTTTGCAGAAAACAGCATCACTAACAAGCCATAAAATTAACAATCAGATAATCTAATTTAGCGATATTGGGTTAGGTGCAAAATTAGAAGAATTCCTCTATATTTTCTTGGACAGTTTTATTTTTCATGTCCATTTGTGAGGGTGAATGAAGGCCATGGTTCAAAGTCTCATCCAAAAAGCAGTACCCTTAACAATACAGCACCAAGATATGCATAGAGGTCTCAAATCTTTGGAAGGAATTTGAACCCTCATTTCTCCCAGAAACAGGAGCATTACAACCAAGCCAACAGTAACATCCGAGGTAGCAATATTTCAAGATCAAAATGAACTCAACAACTTTTCCCATAATTTGTCAAAAGGACAAACTGAGATTGCTTGCTTGCAAATACAGCTAAGTTTGAAACGGAATTTATTCTGGAAGCTAAATATGGAACATATTAACTTCAATATATACAACATGTTTCAGGAGAAAAAGTATAAATCCTTGAATAAGTATTTGGCCAGAAAATTACAAAGTAGAGACAATTATGCAACCGAAAAATATATCAGTTATAATTTTACATTGAAAAATTGCATATTTACCAGTGTTGAGAATTTGATGAAAACACAATAGGCCCAATAATATTAACATTATTGTGGCTGATTAAAACATTAGCACTCTCCTTCATTCATCCTATGAGGAAAAAAATTAAAAAGTGTAATTGATTACATCATATAATTAAAGAGGTAAGAGTTCCAAGAGTAGTCCTTTGCAGATATAAATTCAAAAAAAAAACAAAATTAACCAGCTTCTTGAAGCTGAAATCAATAAGCAAGATTTATTTTCTACATGGACTAATCTTTCCTGATTAAATTGGTTAACGAACCTGCCATATGAATGGGATGACTTCAATCAGGAATAAAAAAAAAAATTGGTGCAGCTTTCCAGTGTGACAACTCAAAAGATTTCCCTCACATACAGAAAGCTCTACATCTTCTGAAACAAATTACACGAAGTGCAGACAAGTAAGCCTTTTTAAAAAATTTTATGACGGGATGAGTGTATCACTGGCTCAGCTAGTCATTGCCCATCCCCAGGAAAAAAGTGGCCTTTTTGAATTTTTACTGTCACAGTACTGTTAGAAAAGAGGGTTCCAGGACTTTAACTTGGGGATAAAGAAGGAATAGCAATCTGGTTCCAAGTCAGGATGACGTGTGGCTTGAGGAGAACTTGCAGGTGGTATTTCCATGCGTCTGCTATCCTTGTTCTTCTGATGTCAGGTTTCTGAGGAAGGGTCACCAGACACGAAAAGTTAACTCTGACTTTTTTCCTTCACAGATGCTGCCAGACCAGCTGAGTTTTTCCAGCACCTTCTGTTTTTGTTCCTGATTTACAGCATCCACAGTTCTTTCGGGTTTTTATCATGGCTTTGGAAATTGCTATCTTATGGACCTTTCTTGAATTGTTGCAGTGGATTTTGTACAGAGTATTCATTGCTGCTACTGTGTGTTGTTATGGAGGTAGATGGTGTGCCAATACTGCAAGCTGCTTCATGATGTATGGTGACAAACATCTTCAATGGTTTTGAGGCTAAACTCATCCAGGGAAGTGGGCAATATTCCATCATAGACTTGGGCCTTGTAGATGGCAAACAGGCTTTGACAAGTCAGCTGCTGACTTACGTACTGCAGAATTCCTAGACTTCAACCTGCTTTTGTAGTCACGTGGCTATTTATCGTGGTCTTCCAGTTCAATTTATGGTCAATGGAAACCCCAGGATGTTGAAAGTTTGAGGGGGGTGGGGTAGGGAGGTGGGGTTCAGCGATGGTCATGACATGGAATATCAACATATGATGGTTAAACCTGTATTTATTGGAGAAGCTCACTACCTGTCAATTGCCTAGTGTAAGTGTTACTGTCAGTCCAAGTCTGAATACTGTCCACATTTGAATATGGACTGGTTCAGCATCTGAGGATTGAGCTAATAAATTACGTAATATCCGATACTTGTACAAAAATTTCCTTGCTGTTTCTTGATACAGTTCCTTCAACTTTGGTCTACATTGCATTTACTACTCCCAGTGAAATATAGTTACCATATCTGAAGTAGCAGCTGTGATGGATAAGAATTAATTCGTTAGCTCCTTCTGCCAAGTCACAAATTATCTTGAATCATGACAATCCATCAATTAGAAATTTGACAGCAGAGCAGTAAGGGATTATGCAGAACAAGTTGGATAGTTTCTTTATATTTTTAGATCCTCCTTAATTTGTTTTCATGGCAGAATCATGGGAGGTGATGGCCTAGTGCTGTTATCACTGGACTGTTAATCCAGAGATCCAAGTAACATTCTTGGGACACAGGTTCAAATCTTACCATGGCAAATGGTGGAATTTGAATTCAATAAAAGTCTTGAATTGAGAGTTTAATGATGACCGTGAATCCATTGTCCAAAAAAAAAAAAATCTGCTTCACCAATGTCTTTAGGCCTACATGTGACTCCAGATCCAGATGGGGGTGGCACGGTGGCTCGGTGGCTTAGTGGTTAGCACTGCAGCCTCACAGTGCCAGGGACCCGGGTTCAATTCCAGCCTCGGACGACTGTCTGTGTGGAGTTTGCACATTCTCCCCGTGTCTGCGTGGTTTTCCGCCGGGTGCTCCGGTTTCCTCCCACTGTCCAAAGATGTGCAGGCTAGGTGGATTGGCCATGCTAAATTGCCTGTAGTGTTTAGGGGGATGGGTCTGGGTGGGATGCTCCAAGGGTCGGTGTGGACTTGTTGGGCCAAAGGGCCTGTTTCCACACTGTAGGGATTCTATGATCTATGATCCACAGCAATAAGGTTGACCCTTAACACTGTGGGCACTTAGAGATGTCCAATAAATGGCAGCCTAGCCAGTGACCCTCTCATCTCATGTATGAATAAAAGAAACAAAACATGAACTTTATGTAGTCAATCTCTGGTGATGGTAGTAGGAATGTAAACTATTCAACAAATAACTACAATTCAGTCCCATGATTAGCTAGAAGAATTCAGGCACTATATTAGATCATAATTAATTTCAACTGCACATTTATGGATAAGGCATACACCTTGCTCTGTAGAACATCGAACTGACTACAACCACAAAACATTCTGGAACAAAAACAAAGTTGCTAGAAAGCTCAGCAGGTCTGGCAGCATCTGTGAAGGAAAAAACAGAGTTAACAATTTTGGGTCCAGTGACCTTTGCTCAGAACCTAAACCTAAACCTAAACCTAAATTCTGGCAAGCGCAGAATGTTTTCATTTCCTATTGTGGTCTTTTACAATAGTTTGGCACTGGAATAACTGACCTATTTCCAGATAGGTTTAACAGGAAGGCTTCAACCAAATGATTTTCATTATCAAGTATTCATGAAAGCTTATCATGCACAAAACATGGTGGTGGAGTAACTGCAATGCTAACCTATACGTTATCTTTGACACCTCTGAAGATTCCCTCCTCATGTATCATTCCTACCTTTTTCCCCACAGCTACCTGGGCTACACCTCCTCTCACCCAGCTTCCTGCAAGAATGCGATCCCCTACTCCCAATTCCTCTGCCTCCATAATGTCTGCTCCCAAGAAGGGGCATTCCACTCCTGAACATCCCAGATGTCCTCTTATTTCAAGGACCGCAAATTCCCCCATTCGGTGGTGGAAAATGTTCTTGATTGCATCTCTTGCGTTTCCCACACCTCGGCCCTCACACCCCCTCCCCCCAACAAAAACAAAGGCAGAATCCCCCTTGCCCTCACATATCACCCCACTAACCTCCGGATTCAACGTATCATTCTCTGCCACTTCCGCCAACTACAATCTGACTCCACAACTAAAGATACATTTTCCTCCCCACCCCCATCTGCCTTTTGTAGGGACCGCTCTCTCCGCGACTCCCTCGTCTGCTCCAGACTCCCCACTGGCCCCACCATCCCCAGCACCTTTCCCTACAACCGCAGGAAGTGCTACACCTGCCCCTACACCTTCCCCCTCACCTCCATCCAAGGCACCAAACAAACTTTTCACATCAGACAGCGGTTCACCTGCACATCCGTCAACGTGGTCTATTGCATCCACTGCTCCCGATGTGGCCTCCTCTACATCGGTGAGACCAAGCGGAGGCTCAGAGACCACCTTGTAGAGTGCCTGCGCTCTGTTCGTGACAAACAGCAACACCTTCCAGTCGCGAAACATTTTAACTCCCCCTCCCACTCCCTAGGTGACATGTCCATCCTGGGCTTCCTCCAGTGTCACAATGACACCACCCACAAACTGGAGGTGCAGCACCTCGTATTCTGCCTTGGGAGCCAACAGCCCAATGTGGACTTTACCAGTTTCAAAATCTCTCCACCCTCAGCCTCATACCATGACCAACCTTCCCTCTCATCCCCACCTCCTTGACCTGAGACAACATGTCCGTCTTCTCTCCCACCTCACTGACCAACCCCCACCACCGCCTATCTGCACTCACCTATCACCTTCCCATCTACCTTCCCCAGCCCCACCCCTCCTCTCTCTATTTATTTCCTGAGTTCCATTCCCCCTCCCCCACTTCTGAAGAAGGTCCCGACCTGAAACGTCAACTTTCCTGCTCTTCTGAAGCTGCCTGGCCTGCTGTGTTCCCTCCACCATCAGCAGTTCTTATTATCTCTGAATATGTTCTAATTAATCTGTTCAGAGATGTTATCACACACCTCTGCTACAGGTGGGACTTGAATCTGGGCCTCCAGGCTCAAAGGTAAGAATACCATATGAGACCTTTCCCTATCGTTTACAATAATCCTCCCCTCAGAAATTTGAAAAAAAAAAAATTGTTACTTGCCTGCTGTGTAACATGTTACTCCCTTTTGGAACCCCTCGAATTCAATTTTTTCCTGTTGCACAGAATCAAAGATCCCCTTCGACAGAGATACCCTATTTCTCTCCACAGTGTTCAACATTATTTACCTACTAGACTCGATGAAAGGTGACTGGTTTGACACTAGGTGACTAAACTTAAAAGCTTGACCAATTTTTAAAATATCAGCATATTTTGAGAGGTGAAAATAGTTTTTCTTCAAGTAAATTGCACTGTTGAATTCTGAAAGTTGGCCTTCACAAATAAAATCCTCAATGTGTTATCATTACAGTGCTGAGGCACTATTTGGCACATGGGAACTGCACCCGCCCTAAAAGTGAGCAACTCACTTAATGCCATTCCCCCACCTTTCCCCATAACTCTGTACATTCTTCCTTTTCTGTTAACAATCTAATCCATTTTGAATGCTTCAATTGAACCTGTCTCCACCATATGCTCAGGCAGTGTATTCCAGACCTTAAATGCTCAATGAAGTAAACTCTCCTATTACTTTTGCTTCATTTGTTTTTTTTAAGTCTTTAGCCTCTTTCTCTGATCTTTTCATGAGCGGGTTTCTTTCCGTCTATTTGGAGACTCTCTCATGCCATGGAAAAAAGAGACAGGAAAAGCGAGCGAGAGTGGCACCTTAGGTGAGGGGACACGTTTGAGAGGGCAGAACCTTCAGTGACTTCGGCAGTGCAGGATTTAAAACTACGCTGTTGGCATCACTGTGTTGCATAACAGCCAGCTAAACAACCAAGTAAACAGACACCATAGTATGAATAGGTATACCCACATTGCTGTCCGGAAGGGAGTTCCAGTATTTTGACCCACTGACATTGAAGGAATTGCCACGTAGTTCGAAGCTAAGATGGCATATGGCTTGACGCAGAACTTGCAAGTGCAGTTCTCACATCTGTGGCATGTGTCAAAATAATTTCTCCGCTGTTTTCTTTCACAGAGAACTTATCAGTAAAGGCAAGGTGAGAACTAGCCCATGATTGGAGAAGCTCCTCACTGATTCCGTTGGTCTCTGATTGATCTCCCTTGTGATTGTAGTTTTCTCAGGCATTTTGGGGTGAATTCACTTGCCACCCCCATTTCGTTTGAGCATTGATCTGCTACCCAAATTGTTTTAGGTGGTAACGTTCACAGACTTGAAGAAACATAGCTGTTGCCCGAACATGATTGTTATTTAGCATGCTCGCCATAGCGAAATACAGCGTGATTATTAGTGAGGATGGTTGGATTGGATGATAATTATGAACAGGTCCGAACATAAATTTAAGATAAGCCAGCAAAGGAGTGTTAGAGCTAGACGCTATAAGGAAATATAGTTTACTTTTGTGCAAATTTGAGGAAAGCTATATTTTCAAGAATCTCTTCACACTGCTGAGTCAAGGATTTACCAAATTAGAATACTTGTACATAAACATTTTAATTTGAAAAGGTGACTTTCACACCATTAAAAAATAATTCTCAGGAGTCAGTCACAATTAATCTAATTAACTGTATGAAGTAATAAAAGCACATCTTTAAAGAGCCAAGACATTCCTAACCTACTTAATCTCAACTGCTGAGCTGACTATAAGCATACCTTTCAGTGTTGGCATGCTTGCTAATCCATTGGAAATTCAACTAAATTACAACCTGATCTGTAGTATCAAGCTGTCAGCTAACAGGGGTGCAATTAAAATACAGCCATGATTCAAAATAGAATGCTCTTTTAGTCACATTTTTGACAAGAAACATAACTATAGCTTCCTTAAAATTATTAATACTACGCAACTTCATACCTTTCAACCAATGTCAATCGCCGTGTCCTACTCTGGAACTCTTCCATTTTAGCTCCATCTTGTATCCTCCCACTCACATCTTTAAGTAGTCTCAAACTCTTACAGTTTGGCCATCATTCCTCTTCTGTGCAAACTTTTAATAAAGACATTATGTAAAATACAAGTCACTGATTATGTACGGATGATGTGGAAGTGCAGGTGTTGGACTTGGGTAGACACGGTCAGAAATCACACGACACCAGGTTATGGTACAACAGGTTTATTTGAAAACACAAGCTTTCGGACTAACACTTGCAGAAGGACTGAGGCTCCGAAAGCTTGTGTTTTCAAATAAATCTGTTGGACTATAACCTGGTGTCGTGTGACTTCTGATCTTTTATACGTATGTTAAAACAACACCAGGTCCGAACGTTGCAGTGAAACAGAAACAGAAACAAGAACCCGTAGTAGAAAAAGCTACGATCTAAGAAAAAACATAGAAAAGTTGTTTAATAGCGCCTCAAAACTCGCTTGAAGATGTGTTCGAAGTGTTATCCTGACTGGCTTTAAACTATTTCCCTTTCATATAAGCTAATATGTTGACAATCTTATCACTTCATTTTGGACCGCGCAGCCTACGGGCAGCTCTTCCTCCCGGTGCCGGCAGAAATAACAATAAATACCTTTTTCCTGTGGGCCACTCATACTGAAATGTTATGAAGTTCACCTGGACCTTTGTCTTTTGGATACTTTGGCGTATCACAGGGAAGTTTTAAGAGGTGACCTGTGTATTAGAATAAAACTTTATACCATTGCAAAGTGGTTAAAACAAACCTCAGCCTGGCCCCACAAACACCCAGTGAACCCCTGCACTTCCTCATCACCATCCAACATTATTATCATCATCATTATTATTATTATCATTGTTGTTGTTGTTCTTACCTGATTTCCGTGAGAGAAAAAAAAATCCTCTCGTTACATTGGGAACAGACGATATTTAAAACATTCCCCCAAATTCAGGCAGCACCAAAGCGAGTGTTTCGTCTGCCAGCTTCCCGTCAACCCCCATGACGGTCAGTACCCTCTTGTCTCCGTTTGATATTGTTGGTAGATCACTGCGGGTAGGTGGGCGGAGCACTCAAGGCCTGTCAATCACAACCCCACCCGACCCCGCACCCATCCACCGACGCGGATTGTGAGGTCACCAAGCCCGCAGCTGTCAGCCTTTACCGAAAATCACGTGACCCGTGCTTTGGGCAAGTTCTGAGGTGGAAGCACAAGGGAGAAAGGCAACTATTACTCATGGCTTGAAATCTCAACACAGGGAGTACTGTAATCCCCTGTGCTTGTTATACATGCAAGCACCTCTAAAGAATACATGGTCAGCCCCACACTTATCAACGTTATTTTGATTTTTTAACACACAGAAAAACTCCCCACTTGCCTGGATGAGTGCAATTCAAACAATGCATGACACTACTCAGGACAAAGCAACCTGCTTGATTGGCATCACACCCACCCCCTCCACCACTGACCTTCAGTTGCAGCAGGTTTCTCCAACAGCACTTTTGAAACCCAATGCCACTCCCATCTCAAGGATAAGGGCAGCAGCTAGATAGGAACACCACCACGTGCAAGTGCCCCTCCAAGCCACTAAACATTCTGACTTGGAAATAAATCACCTTTTCTACTGAGTCAGTGGGTCAAAATCCTAGAACTCCTTCCCTAAGGACTTTATCGGTCTACCTACAGCACATGGACTGCAGCGGTTCCAAGAAGGCAGCTCACTACCACCTTCTCAAGGGCAACTTGGAATGGGAAGTAAATACTGGCTCAGGCAGCGATGCCCACATTTAATGAATGAATAAAAATAAGTTGGAAACATTCAGTAGGACAGTCTGTTTCTGCAGAAAGAGGAATATAGGGTTAATGTTCTGGGTGATCTACTTGAAATATTATATTCTTCCACCCGACAGAAGCACTCTCAGTTTTCATTTCATTTAAATAGTGATCAACAAGGAAATTTTCTTTTGTATGAATTGCCAACCACGTTAAACAAAAGTGAAACTAAATGCAATCTCAAATAAATATTAAGTATGGGCGTTGTTTTTTAAATCAATTAGGCCACACATACAGAATTGGGAATAAATAAAAATATATTTTTAAACATTCACCTGGCCATTCTTCTGGATGCTTTTAATCAACCAATGGTTCATGGTGACACATCTCTGGAGTAGGTGGGACCTCCTAGCGCATAGGTAGGGACATTACCATTGCACTACAAGGCATTGTCTTTTACTTGTTTGTGTTTGATAATGTTTACATAAGCAAATTTTTATGTGGGCAACTGTCCCTGAACTTATCAACACTACTTCGACTTAGTCACATCCTCATGAAGATTCCCAACGTAACAATTTAATGTTGCATCCGAAAGGCAGTAACTGTGGGTTGAAGCTACTTTTAGCAAAGTAACATTCCCCCAGTGCTGCCCTGAAATGCCATGTTATTATGTGCTCAAACTCCTGGAATGTGACTGAAAACCGCAGCCTTGTACCTCAGAGGCAAAACAGCTATTATTGAGCCAAGACTAATACCTTCTGTTGACTGTGGAAACTTCATCACCTTCTTTCTGGGGTCCTTCATAGACTACCTAGCACCAGGCGATCTTTTTTTGAAAATATGTGTCCTGCAATAGAAGTGTCTAACACATAGCTCAAATCTCATTCATGAACTTTATTTCTCTTGAAATGAAAAGTCGATTTGGACTTCAGTTTCAGTTCGTTAAACTTAAACAGGACTTAATGGCAAGGGAAAAAGGGAAATGTGCGAACGTATCAGGAATTGAGTTAATGCTGCAGGAAATATTTTTTGTAGTAATTTACTAGCATGGGTGGAGAATAGAAATTTTTGTTAGATAAATCTGGTCTAGATTCTAAACCTTTTCTGGTTGTCAGTGTTCTTTGTTTTCTTCCTCCCCAGTGCAGTCATTGCCCCTCTTTACCAATATACTACCAATGTGAGATACAGGAGAATATATCAGCTATATTTAGGGCCAGAAACAAATGAGTCTCATGCAAAAAGAATGAATCTTGGCAGATTTACTCAGAAACTGAACAGTTTCCCCTGACAATATTTGATGTTGGTTTTGGAGGGAAAAAGACTTCCATTTTGATTCCATTGAATCCTTGTTATGTGACAATCCGTACAGTTAAGCGGTGTGTTCCATTTGTGAAGGGTAATTTCTTCCATCTGCCTGAGTTTTATAAACCTGCCTCTTAAATTAGCAACTGCTTTCTTACTCAGTCAGGAATGGTACAATTGATCTGCTGAATCTCTTGTTGAATGAATAATGAACCATTTGATATTCAACAATCATAGAAATGCATTGAACTTACAGTACGAAAGTGAGCCAGTAAGTCAGCAGAATAGGTCTTCACTGGTTTTTACACGAGGTTACAGAAATGAACTAGTTATGTTAACAGTAATTCTCCTTTCTATTCCTTAAGATATTGTTTGATGCCGGGAAATTTGTAGCAGTGTTACAATGCACTGCAAATCTAATCACAGAAGAGAAATAGGTCATTGGACCCAACAACTACATGCTTCTGTTTAAGCTCCACATGGGTGTCCATCCATCTTCATTTCACTCTATTTCATATTCCTTTACTTCTTATGTATTGATCTGTTATCACTACAGATTGTTCTAACTATCTGCCCATATCACAAGGCATCAGGCCTCACATAGTTACAAACATCTGACTTTATTTGTGAACTGAGTTGATTAGAATGCTGCAGAATTAACAATGACCACTTTACTAAAGTTTTTCAGTTTGAAGATCTTTGTGATTTGCTCACCATGTGCTTCTGTTATTTTTGATCGGTGAAACCCAAAAATATAATTCAGGCTAAAATATCAGTTCATTGTCATAAGAGTTAATTTCAAATAGAAGCAAAATAAATATAAAACAATATTAAATTTACACCCAACATACTTCTCAACATTAAAACAGCAAAACTGTGTAACATCTGTCTTTTTAGAGACTCATGTTAATATATGAGATCTGCTTCGTTGCTATGATGTCTGAGTACATTTGAACTCAACAAATTGAATTGAAAAGGCTGTTTTCCAGGTTTAACCATCACCTTCTTTGGAGTAAAGAACATTGAAGCTCCTTTCGAGAGGCCTTTGTCTTTTACATATCAGACTCTATTTAAAATATTGACCTAAGCCTTAATACAGAAATAATACTTGGTTTAAATGATGTTCACTATTACTAATGTGTAACTTATACAGAAACCTGTATGACGCAAAACTAGGTGAGGTTATGAGGAAGATGCAAGAGACTTTAGACAAGTTGAGTGAGTGGCAAACGCATGGCAGGTACAACATGGCTAACTGTCAAGTTATACACTTTGCTGTGAAAAACAGAAAAGAATTGTATTATTTAAACAGTGGTATTTTGGGAAGTACAAATGTACAAAGAGATCTAGTTGTCCTTGTGCACCAGTCAATGAAAATACACAGAGATAACAAGGTGTAGAGCTGGATGAACACAGCAGGCCAAGCAGCATCAGAGGAGCAGGAAAGCTGATGTTTCGGGCCTAGACCCTTCTTCAGAAATGGGGGAGGGGAAGGGGGTTCTGAAATAAATAGGGAGAGAGGGGGAGGCGGATAGAAGATGGATAGAGGAGAAGATAGGTGGAGAGGAGACAGACAGGTCAAAGAGGCGGGGATGGAGCCAGTAAAGGTGAGTGTAGGTGGGGAGTTAGGGAGGGGATAGGTCAGTCCAGGGAGGACGGACAGGTCAAGGGGGCGGGATGAGGTTAGTAGGTAGGAGATGGGGGTGGGGCTTGAGGTGGGAGGAGGGGATAGGTGGGAGGAAGGACAGGTTAGGGAGGCAGGGATGAGCTGGGCTGGTTTTGCGATGCGGTAGGGGGAGGGGAGATTTTGAAGCTTGTGAAATCCACATTGATACCAATGGGCTGCAGGGTTCCCAAGCGAAATATGAGGTGCTGTTCCTGCAACCTTCGGGTGGCATCGTTGTGGCACTGCAGGAGGCCCAGGATGGACATGTCACCTGAGGAATGGGAGGGGGAGTTGAAATGGTTCGTGCCTGGGAGGTGCAGTTGTTTAGTGCGAACCGAGCGTAGGTGTTCTGCAAAGCGGTCCCCAAGCCTCCGCTTGGTTTCCCCGATGTAGAGGAGGCCACAACGGGAACAAAATACACAGGCAGGTGTAGCAAGCAATTGGGAAGATGAATGTTTTATTAGATGTCATTGCAAGTGGGTTTGCATTCAGAATCTGGAATGTCTTACTGCAGTTATACAGGGCTTTAGTGAGACTAACTCTAGATTATTGCATGCTGTTTTGGTCTCCCTACCTAAGAAAGAATGTACTTCTGGGGGAGTGCAGCAGAGGTTGTGAGGAAGGCAGGACAGTCCTATGACGAGAGATTGGTTCCATTGGGCCTGGATTGACAGAAGTTTAGAAGGATGAGAGGGGATCTGATTGAAATGTATAAAATTCTAACAGGGCTGGACAGACTACATGCAAAGAGGATGTTTTCCCTGATTAGAGAGTCTAGAGCCAGGGAATACAGTCTCAGGATACAAGGTATCATTTAGAACTGAGATGAGGAAAACATTTTTTACTTAGATGGTGGTGAGCCTGTGGAATTCTCTACCGCAGAAGGCCATGGAGGCCAAGAAACTGAATATATTCACAAAAGAAATCAATAATTTTTCAGATTTTAAAGTCATCAGAGATATGAGGAGAATGCAGGAATATGGCATTGAGATGGAGGATTAGGCATGATCATACTGCACGCTGCCACTGTTGATATTTCAATGTGAGGAAGAGATACTTTGTCAATCAGAATTCAACACAAATTTCTGGTGGATTAGCACAAATCTGCTGTTGTCCTCACTCAAACATCACTGTGAATTTAATGAGATTGCTGCTTTTGTATATTAATGACCAAATAAGCTTGCTGCAAACTTTTTTGGCCTGCTCCCTAACAATATGTATAACTTTTTAATGATACTCCTTTGATGCTATGCAACTGCTTTGGTTTAGAAAGGGAAGAGTTTAAATTGTGGAATCCAGGTAGGAAGGTGTAGGTTAGTAGGAAAGGGTTATTCAAGATTTTTAAAATTAGCT